TAGTAGTATGGCCAGGAGCCCCTAGTAGCGTCCTTGCTCCTAGTAGCGATGCCCTTTGTTACTAGTAGCTTCTTGCTCCTAGTAGTATGGCCAGGAGCCCCTAGTAGCGTCCTTGCTCCTAGTAGCGATGCCCTTTGTTACTAGTAGCTTCTTGCTCCTAGCAGTATGGCCAGGAGCCCCTAATAGCGTCCTTGCTGTGCTCCTAGTAGTATGGCCAGGAGCCCCTAGTAGTGTCCTTGCTCCTAGTAGCGATGCCCTAGGTTACTAGTAGCTTCTTGCTCCTAATAGTATGGCCAGGAGCCCTGAGTAGCGTCCTTGCTGCTAGTAGCGATGCCCTTTGTTACTAGTAGCTTCTTGCTCCTAGTAGTATGGCCAGGAGCCCCTAGTAGCGTCCTTGCTCCTAGTAGCGATGCCCTTTGTTACTAGTAACTAGTAGCTTCTTGCTCCTAGTAGTATGGCCAGGAGCCCCTAGTAGCGTCCTGGCTCCGCTTAGGTTATCAGAAATGTTTTGACCGTGTTCCCTAGGGCCCTAGAGTGTGTGAAAGACACTGTTGGTCTAACTGGATAGCTTCTTCACCAATCTAAGCCTGGAACGGCTGTGATGGCTTCAGAAAGTCGAATCTTCAACTCAGAAAACTGTGACGGGCTGCTCCTGGGCGAAGGATTCGAGAAAGCGACCCGTCGGCCAGGCCGGCCATGAGCACATCCGTCAAGTCACCCGTCGAAGGATCAGGAAGGATTTTTGGGAGGCTCTTTTTGGGGCGTGCAGTGCTGGCTTGCAGTGCTGGCGTTCGTGCCATTTGGATCTAAAGCTGAACCATGCATTGATGGCCTGAATACAAATTTGCAAGCGACAGCCTCATGCTGCGCTTCAAAACCAATGAAATCTGGAGAATGGCACTCTGTCGAGCATTAGCCTGTAGCAGAGCTGATACGGTTTGGTGCCAAGGGTCGCCGACCTGAAGTTGTTCGGTACGAGGCATCACCCAAAGTGAAAGACTGTGCATGGCCACCAGCAGCTCTTGGTGGCAACCAGGCAACTTGAGCAGCTTGCTCTTGATGCATATGCCAGCTGTGTGAGTGCTGTGCCATCAGAGCATGTTGATCTTGGTACCTGTGCCCCAAGCTATACGACTGCTGCGGCACCAAGGCAGCCTGGTTCTGCTGGTACGCAAAGCTATGTGAATGCTGTGGAAGCCACGAATCGCTAGGCATGTGCAAGCCCTCAGGCCGAAAGCCAGTTGCAAGAGGAGCCTGAGGAGAAGTTGTGACCAACCTGTGCTGGCCAGTGAACACTTCATGAGCAAACGTCTGTCCCGGATTGGACCATGTCGGTGGCTGTGCATAAGACTGTCCTGCGCACGTAATGCATGGTTTCAAATCTTGTGAAAGAAAGAAATACATTACAGGGCACAAAAAGATCCAAGGGCTTGAAGTTGACAATTGACTCGAGTGCTGCAGATGAAGCTTTTGACGAGCTTCTCTTGTTCTATCTACAGCTGGCTTTATGTCCCAACCAGGTCAACGGGTTGTAAATCTAACATCGCTCAGAACTCTGTGGTATGGGCGGTCCCACACCGGGAGCGGGAAGACTGATGGTTTGGCTCAATCATTTGATCAGGACGTGCTCCACTTTGCCCAGCCACCCTAGGAGCAAGGACGCTACTAGGGGCTCCTGGCATCTCTACTAGTAACAAGAAGCTACTAGGGGCTCCTGGCCTTACTACTAGGAGCAAGGCAAGGACGCTGCGAGCTTCCTTTCAAAAAAAATGTTAGGTTTTTTGATTGCTCCTGGAGCTACAAAGCCAAAGCCCATTTGTGCTGTATATGCATCGAGCTCAGGAAGTGATGGCAAAGCAGGTGTTTGTAGAACTGGTGCGTGCAAGGCCATACTTGCCCGAGCCCGCTCAAGCTTGCTTCTTCTTGGTCCAAGGGCTGCCAGGGAATGGTTTGCTTACAAAACGGTCACAGCCGATGCTATGAACTGACTACGGTGCACACAACATTCGGCCACGGATGCTATTTCAACACAAGCATCATGGGTTTTGGTCCAAGAGTGGCCTCGGATCTTGTCCATGCTGTCCTCCGCAGCTGCTTTGAGAGCATTTGCTGTGGAGCTTGCCATGGATTCCAGGTGTGGTTGTGCAAATACTGCAGCTGTGTAGATCTCGGTGGTCGCCGTATCATTAAAAAACTTCCCGCCATTCCAGGCTGCCTCTCCTTCATATCGTGAGCATGCAAACTTGAAGCTAAGATTAATAACACGCGATAAGCAACTGGTGCTGTCTGACATGCTTGAGTCCCCCACCCACCGCTGCAGAGGTGTCCCAGAACCACTCGGAATCCAGATTGGTAGAACGCGGATTGGGAGCTCCGGCTATGCAACAGCCAAAAGTTGTTTGAGCATTTCCAGGAGATCCAACCTCAGTCAAGAACGGGCATAAAGTCTCATGCTGTGTACTTCATGAATGTCTCAAACGAAGGCAAAAAGTATCTCTCATTTTAACTCAACAAGTGATCATTGTTCTTTGTTTGTACGAGTAGTACAGACCCACTACATGACATAGTCTTTTGTCTCAGAGAGCGTGTGTGTGTGTGTGCGTGCCTCTTCAAAAGCGGTTGCAGTGGTCAATGCTGAGAGTGATCCATCAGGTCCGTCAAGGTCTCGAGGACTTGGACCGAGCTTGCCTAAAGGACTTGGAGCGCTGGTCTCCTTCCTTGGTGAAACCGCCTCACGAGGTCGCGCAGTTAAATGGACCCTGAATTCAAAAACGCTCTATATAAGTATGTTTGAACTAAGAAAGAAAGGAAGGAATTGAATTAATCAAAATGAATTAACCCACCCAAGACGGCCAAGACACTACCAAGACGCAAAGGAGACACCCACAAGTACACGGTATACTCTCTCAAAGAACCCGGTGCACTTTTGAAAAGTACCCAGTGTACAGCTTTTGAATACTTTTTCAAACGATACTATTGGAGGGTACACTGGGCACCATTGAAAAGAATGCATTTATGACACTACGTCGATATCATGGGAGAGAAGCTGGAGACAAGCTTCGAGACAGCCAAACCGTGGCTGCGACAGTCCGCCAAGCATGACGGGAGGAGACAGATGGCAAACAAGCTCAAGTTTGGGACAAGAGGTTGTTAGACTTCTGATTGTAACTAAGTAAGAACCCCCAAAGCTTCCACCTATCTGACCAAAGAATTGAAAAGCACCAAAAACTCGAAGAAATCGGAAGAAACACAAACAGAATCGTTTGATGGATATTAAAAGCCGGACTTGGACGCCACTACCCAAGGCTTTCTTGTGCTGCACTAAAGCCTGCCGAAAAGGAACGCACAAAGCTGATGGCCGCATGTTGGTTTGCCTGCCTTGGCAGTGAGAAGAGTGGGCCTTTCCATGGCAAAAGAAGCACCTGATTGCACCTCTTCGCTGATGGCCGATTGACTTCTGGAGATCAAACCAGGACAGCTGAGCTGTGGGATTGAGGCTGCTGCGCCATCTCTTTCCACCAAAAGATCCTCAAAATGATTGAGGCTCGTCTCGTTGTGTCTTTGACTCGTCCTTGTCGTCTCCTCTTTGACTCGTTTTGTTTCAGTCTTTGGCTCGTTTATCTTAAAGACATGCAAGGCTCGGCCTGTCTGGATGCCGCTAGTGCTGCGCTCTGATTGTCCCGCAATCCACGCAGACAGCCTCTTCCCTTCAAGAACTCTGGGAGGCCACGAGCACCTGGTCACTCACAGAGCTTGGACATCTCAATGACTTGAGTCCCAGCAGATCTCTACATCTTGTGTTTTGCATGTGTGACGTGCTGCAAAATGGTATCACTAGTCACTAGATAGAAAATGTGGACCTTGTGGAGGCATTTTTGTGAACTATCTGTGAGCTTGCTTCAGGCTCATAAGCAATCAAGGTACAACCGCTGAAGCAGGTTGGTGCCATGTTCGTCAGAGCAAGCAAGGTGGGATGACGGTCTTCTTCGCTCTTGAAGTGGCTGCGGCATAAAGAAAGAAATCTGCGGCACAGAAGGTGCATGGAAACTGCTCAAACAACTATTTGAACATGTCAGCTGCCAGGTCTTATGAAGGTCCACAATTCCAAACATGCTGGCAAGGCTTCTTCAGGGTCATCAGTGTTGCCTGCATTACTCGGTTGGATCAAGACATGCGGTTGCTTTCACTCCATGAAGTCGATTCTATTAAATTTATTGCCTACACTTTCTGTTATATGCCACGATCCAATTGGCACCCTGCACCCGCACACAAATTACATCCCACAAATGCTGTAGCTTCTGCGAAGATGTTTCCTCTCTTTGTGATCGTCTTGTGCTTGTGTGTTGTGAGGGGGTCTTGACTGGATCCAAACCCACAAAGAGCCTTCGCATGCAAGGCTTGTTTGCTTCCGCGAAGTTCCATCAACCTCAGACAGTTGTCAGCTGTCCAAATTGTCTGGGCAAATGAACCCACCTTTGCCCACTGATTTGAGAAGCACCGAAGCACCACTTTGTTCTGCTGGTTCAAATGTTGGTTCTTCTGCACAAGCTCTCAATCTGTGGTTCCATGAATCAAGAGAATGACTGACAGAGAATGCAACTCCATTCATCGACTCTTTTGAAAAGAAAAAGCGAAGAAACCAAAACTTGCTTGAGGTTGGAGGCCATCGCTAGTAGGTTGCAGGCCATCGCTAGTAGGTTGGAGGCCATCGCTAGTAGGGTTGGAGGCCATCGCTACTAGGGTTGGAGGCCATCGCTACTACGGTGAAGGCCATCGCTCTTAGGTTGGAGGCATCATGCCAATCTCTCTGAGCCTTTTGACTTTCTCTCGAGCTCCACCTCCACACTGCCGGAAGGAACTCCTCCAGCAGCCTGGAGGAATAATCTTCCAGTCTCAATCGATCCTTTTCTACCATGTAAACATCCTTTGTCAATTGCATACAAACACATCATGGCAGAAAGGCTAGTCGGTGAAGCTGTTAAGTTCTGCTCTGGAATCTCTAGACTCTGTAGACTCCAGAGACAGTGTCAAGACGTGACTGCCTCAATCATCTTGCTTCTTGCCACTGCTTTTGTTGAATTCGCAAAAGCTGAAGCTGCATTCAGCCACGCAACACAAAATTGAAAGATTGACAAGTATGAATCGGTATGACTCGGTATGACAGGCCTCTGGCTGCTCTTGCTCGACTCCCTGACACCCAGAAGACTCGGAGCAAACAAAAGCTACCTGGACCTGTTCTGGGTGCGGCGTGAGGCATAAGGCGTTTGAGGTTGCCTTCTGCCCCTCCAGGCCGGTCGGGACTCGAAATGATGCCTCGAGTCGGCAAACAGCGGATGTCACAATGCAGTAGCTTTGCCGGACAAATCTCATTCCAAGTGCCGGACCAAAAGGTGCGGAAGCAGCTGCCGCAACCCGGTCATGAGAGCTGCTTCCGCAAGGACGGTGCATCCCACCTGGTGGTTGAATCGGAATCACAAGGTAACGAGCACTGTGAGGCACATCAGGAAGAATAATAAGGAACAAGAAGTCTCTTAAGCCCAAAGGGTTTATATAATTATATAACAGTGCTCCTCATCCTACCTTCCCTTGAATGTGCCTTCTCTCCGAAGAGCGCCATTTCGGCCCAGTTGTGGCTGCTCACAGCTCCAACTAAGGTGTCCTCACAAAGGAGCTGACTGTGCAGAAGAAGGAATGAAAACAGTCGGACTTTTCTGCGCAGTTCTGCTTTTGTCGCGCAAGTGCCAGTAGTACAAAGATCCAACAAGTTCCCACCAAGCGCTTGATGGAGTCCCATCATGGTCTTGCCAGAAGATTCTCTCTGGCTTACAAGCCGGTGGAGCTTTGGAAGTGTCCAGCTCAAACTTCCACGCAGTTGCAAATGGCTGAATGCTGTGGGGGTTACGTTGAAATCTGATCTGCCGAGTTGCTTGCCAGCCAATATGAGCAGCGGCGAGCAAGACCGGAGCATCCTCAACACAAGAAGAAGAGGCGCGTGTCTGGCATCATCCGGTGCTAAGAAATGGTTCAGTGATGCTTGGCTGCAGCTTACGACAGAACCTTATTGCAATCAAGAAGCCTCAGCATTGCCCCACAAAATCCAGAGGGTCTTGCAACCTTGTCTCCTAGCTCCATCGAACAAGACCTCCAAAGGGAGAAAAGACCTGTCCAATGCACGTGTTCGTGAAAGAATCGCTTCTTCACTCCCAGCTCTGGAATTTACCAGGTCATCATTGTATGGAGGGTTGCATAGGAACACAGATGGCGGATTGCTTTGCCATTCAGGAGTCCAATCTTGAAATGAAGCATGTACAAAGCGTAGGCGGTCTTGCCAGGGAGATGAAGCAAAGTTGGTTGTAGCTATTCTCGCAGCAGGTTCGTCCAGCTCAATAGCCCATAGTTCCAAGTCAGGCTTCGGATCCTTCTGCCAACGCTGCCATTCTTGCGCAACGATCAAAGAAAGGAGTCCTGTTCCAGTTCCCACATCAACAACTGTCACAGATCGGTGCAAATCCTGATCCCACAAATCCCGTGCAACCAAGGATGCAAAGCCGCTAGCTGCTTGAGTTGCCCGCAGTCCTGAGGATTTTGGCTGCCAAAGACTGAAGGAGTGGAAGTGGAGAAAGTCGCCACCAGCCAAATATGCACTCGTGTAGTTGCCATTGAACACATGCGTTGACACATTCGTTTCATGGCGTTGTATCGCGATGACCTTGTTACAGGCCTTGTCCATAAAGCCACGGTCATGCGATGCAACAAGCACGATCTTGAAGGAAGTCTTACAGGCCAAGAAGTCTTCCAGCCAGTTGCAGCTTGCAGCATCCAGACCTTCTGTCGCATCATCCAGCAGCAGGGCATCTGGCTGTTGCATGCTTAGTTTGGCCACTGACACGCGCACTAGGTCGCTCTGGCACAAATCACATAAAGAAGCGTCTCCATCCAGTTCAAAGTCTTCCATGCACTTTTGGACTCGGTCGACTTCTACTTGGCTTGTCTGACCAGCCTCCGTCAAACATGGCCCGCCCACAACGTCCACGACCAACGAACATGGTCTTGCATGTAAAAGAAACTCTCCACGACGGACGGAAGGGTCAAGAGAACTCAGCTCTTCCCTCACAGTGCAGCACTTGTCGCTGGCCACCCAGCCACTGCGCAATATTGCAAGTCGGCAAATGTCTGGTTGAAAAACAACATGTCCAGATAGAAGAGGTGCTTCACCGGAGAGTATGTCTATTTGAAGGCTCTTGCCTGAATTAGAGGGTCCGGCAAAAGCAGCTCTGTCCCCGATGTCAAGTGCCCACGAAGCGCAAAGACTTGGGTATTCTTTGAATCTCACTTGCTTGAATTCCATTGCAAGGACCACAAAGTTGTGCGGGGCAAGTTCGCTTGAACCACTGCTTGTTGCACAATGTCATGACAGCTCTGAGGACACTGACAGACTGCCTTTTTGTGCTCAACTCAGAGCAACTTTACAGTCCCTGAGTCTCGCACTGACAGTGCCTCTACTGCTGTTTTTTACTGTGCAAACACAAAGTCTGTCTACCGAATAATTGGTATTTGGACGGTCCCTACTAATCACATACAGCATCATGTATACTGCATATATATAATTTGTTATATATATATAACTGTTTGAGGCTCAAGCTGTCTGGCTCAAGCTTCTTTGGCGGCAGCGCTGGGCTCTACGCGCCTTCCTCCACATCGCTCCTGTCTCCTTCCACGGTGGCCTCTGCGATTTCTACATGGAGACAGCGAGACATCGGCCCTATCAATGCTGCCAAGCTCACGGATGCAGAAATTGGATTTGGTGTGATCGAGTCCAACAAGGTTTTTCTTGCAGGCTATGTGGCAATGAATGGCCGAAGCCTCCAGGCGGTTTTGCCCTCAAGAAGTTCGACAAACGCAACACCCGATGGGACCGAGCACCACATCGACGGCCTTCTCCACCCCCCGGACTTGGAAGACCGCGTTTTCAAAAACCCTCTCAGATCCAGAAGAATGCCACTGAACTCCTGGCACCCATATGGTCAACTCTTGATGAGCAGCTTCGAGGTAAATTGACTGACTTGGGCATTTCTTCGGAGGTCAAACCCAAAGAACCGGATCTTCAGGATGTTTTGAGGGAGAACTTGACCAAACTTCCTACTCCTGTCCGAGAATTGGTGGAAAAAATCACGACTCCACCTCCTGAATCGGAACGTGAAGTTGCAGGAAGGCTCAAGCAGCCAGTTACTGCCTTGAAGGATCTGTCACACAAGAAACACAACCTTCAGGGCAAGATCGATGCCACAAAACGAGCCTATCAGGACCTCTTGGGTGAGATGAAGGCCATTCAGACCAGCCCTTAATCAGACCAGCGCCTCCTACATGGCTCTGGTCAATTCGGAGGTGACCGCAACTCCCCTCCAGTCAGATGCAAATATGTCTGACCCTGTGCCGGATGCAGTTGCAGGCTTCATCACTAACCTCGGTGTGAATCTAACACCAGAACAGCAGTCGCAGTTGCAGGTCATGCTCAAAAGGCCGCAAACGGAGTCCACCGATGAAGCAAAGCGCCGCAAGACGGACACGGAGAACGGAGAGCATTGTGGGTAACCTTCCCTCCTCCCTCCCAGGAGGATCTCAATTCCCTGTTGCAAATTTGGGGTTTTGTCAATTGTCTTCTCCTACGGCAATTGATGAGGGATTCAGTCAACTTGATTGCAGGGAGTTTGTCAATCCAGTTGACAGAGCAATTGGCTCAAATCAGGGCCTCAGGAACCTTTCACCGCCGTGCTATGGTCCCCTGAGGACACCCAAAGTTTTTGGCGGAGCAGTTTTGAGCTCGCAAGAAGTGACCGCGGAGGCACCGTGCTCCTCTACCTCTGAGCAGATTCCTCGGAATCCTGCTAGTAACGGGACCTCCAGAAGTCACTCACTTGCTAGAGCCTTCATGGACATCCTGGCGAAGGATGAAGATCTCCAAATTTCAGAAGCACAGAGCCAACTCTTTGAGCTCACCCAACAGGACCTCATGAACTCGTGCACTCAATTCTTCTACCAGTCCAACAATGACACTGGGCAGCAGCTTCTTTCTGACCTTCAAAGGTTGGAACACTTGGCGCACCGGCAACTGGGTCTTCAAGGGGATCTCCCACACATCCGTGGGAACACTGGCTTAATTGCACAGAATCTCACTTCGATATCCAGCAACTCGAGCAACCTCTGTTTCAGCAATGCGGCCTTTCGATGCTGGGCTTGGGTCAGTAGCTTCGTGGCCGATCCATCCATGATGTGGGGTCGCCTACATCAAGCTTTCAGAACCTTCCTGGGCTCCTCTCAGTCCACCTCATTGACTGAAATTCCGGAGATGCACGACATTTGGACTCACTTTGATCATGCAGTTCAAGCTGACGTTGGAGACTTTGTGGGCCACATGTGGTCGATTGCAAAGCCAATCGCCATTGGAAGCAAATTCTTCCATGTCAGAAGCAATGGCATTCTTGAAGAAAGGGAACAAGTCCCACTCAACATCCTTTTCCCACCAGGAGCCAACAAGATTGATCTCCAAACTCTGCTCAACTCATGGGCAGATGAAGCCAAGGGACAATATCTTTACGGTCAGCCTGACTGCCTCGTTCTCCATCTTCAGAGATTCGAACTCGTGCAGCAGCAATGGGCGAAACACCACAGGGAGCTCCACATTCCCACCGAAGTTTTCCTTCCCTACTCCAACGATGGCATCGCGGTCGCCAAAGCCTACTATCGTGTCCTGGCCATGGTGCTGCATCAAGGGGAGACGCATGACAGTGGACACTTCATGGCCATTCATGCTGTTGACAACGCCTACTGGTTGGTAAATGACAACATCTTCCCTAAACCCATCAGCAACTTGTCGGAGCAACATGGGAAAGAAGTCATCCAACTTTGGCTCATTCTCGATCCCAATGATGAGATGCAGGTTGACTTTGTGGCTGAGGAAAGCCCCCCTCCCAAAAAACAGAAGACACACTACGATGAGATCAACTTGTGTTTTGCCAATGTCACCACCTTTGGGAAGAAGGTTCAGGATTGGGTCTGGTCCAAGGCGGATCACCTCCTCTTCCTCCAGGAAACTCACCTCAATTTGAACAAGTCCAACGAGGCCCTCCAGTACTTCATCGTCAGAGGCTGGAAAGGCATCGCGGTTCCAGCCGCCAACACTGACAAAGGGGGCACCACTGGCGGTTTCCTATGCCTCCATCCACCACATCATCATGTTCACGATCTTCAGCACTTTGATCTGGAAGGCAATGGATGGATGGCAGTTGGTCTTCAGCGAGAGGATATGCACATCGCCATCATTCAGCTCTATCTCAAAACTGGTGAGAGTCTTCAATCTGCCACTAATGCGGAAATCTTGGCCAATCTCTTTGGGTTTTTGGACAACCTCAAGGCGCCCTTCATCAGTGGAGGAGATTGGCAGAATCCTCCTTCAGAACTGGCAGCCACGGTCATTCAGAGCAAGTTCAAGGCCCACATCAGAGCATCCGAAGGTCCCACTACATTAGAGGGCAGTCAGTTGGACTTTCTCCTGATCTCAAATGAGCTGGCAGGGGCGATTTCTTTTGAGAACGTTTGGGATGTTCCTTGGAGACCTCATTGCGCCCTCAACGTCAAGTTCACCTGTCAGAATCAAGCCATTCCAGTCCAGCAACTGCGGACCTTTCCACCCATCGGAAGAGCTCTATCTGCTGAGATACCTTGGACGGATTTCCCGGAGCAAAATGGTCCCTTCCACATCTTGAACTATCAGATCACTGGTTTGGGCACAGATCTTGCCAGATGGTGTACCCAGTCCGAGCTCTATCTCACACAGCAGTTGCAGCATCCGAGATTGGGAAGAGGCTCACGGGTGGATCTTTTCACTGCTCCTCTTCAAGGACCACATCAAATACAACTTTGGAAGAAAGGAAGACCTGCTTTCTGGGAGAAAATGGCGGTCCGCATCAACGTCTTGCATCATGCTCCTCATGAAGGGGTTAAAAAGGATCTCCTGACCATGCTCAACAGCGTTCAGGAATACAGCTCTGAGGATCTCAACCAAGACGAGTTCCTGGACCTCATCAAGACGCTGGAGAAACCTCAAAATGATCCTCAACATCTACAGAACCTGGTCCTCTCTCAAGAACACCAAGCTCATGTTGGGGTAGCGCTGGCCAACACCGAAGAGTACAAGTTATGGCTACAAAATGCTCATTCCAAAGGTCTTCGAGACCTCTTCAGATCCTTGAGACAGAAAGACATCCCATGGCAGAGGCCTTTCCAGGATCTTCCCATCTGGGAACGCTTACAAGCTCGGTTGGAGCAATGGGGAAGCATTTGGCAACCAGTTGACGAACCTTGTGTCATTCGAGGTTTCCGAGAACTTCGTGAAGATGCCATTGCTCAGGCCAGGGACACGCAGGCCATCAATCCCATCAGCCTTCAAAGAGTCATCAAGAAACTGCCAAACAAAGCCTCAGGCCCGGATGGAATCTCTTATGACTTCCTCAAACAGCTACCTTTTGAAGCTGTCACTCAACTCGCCAAACTGCTGAACACCATGGAGCAGGAAGCACTTTTGCCCACTCAGTTGCGCATGGTCAGCATTGTCATGATTCCAAAGAACCCCAAAGTGGAGAGGCCCATTGCTTTGACCTCGTGTCTCTACAGGCTATGGAACAGGGTCAGGAAACAGGACATTGTCAAGTGGCAGCTGTCTCTCGATTCCATCATGCCTTGGGATCATGCAAGACCTAAGAAGGATTGCCTTTCCATTGCTGTTGGGAGGATGCTTCAAAGTGAACTATGCAAGCATAACAATATCCACACCGTCACCTGCTTAGCAGACCTCAGTTGCTTCTATGACACTGTCACCCTGGACAACCTCATCGCCCCTGCGAGAGAACTCGAATATCCTCTTCTTCACTTGAAGCTGGCCATCGACCTATACCGAGGACCAAGAATCATTCAAGCAGAGGGCATCACAAGTGACCCACAGCACTATCAATAAGGAATCCTGCAAGGGTGTCCTCAAGCACCTGCCATTGCCAAGCTGGTGCTATACAAGCCACTCAAGGATCTGGTCAGAGATCACCCTGCAGTTCTTCTCCAAACATGGGTTGATGATGTTTCCTATGATGTTCGAGGACACGACCCCATCTATGTTGCCACTGAAGCGGCTCAAGCTTTCAGATCCCTGCAGCACCATCTCACTCAAGCAGGACTACGGCTCAACACTGACAAAACAGGTTTCCTCACGAGCTCAAAAGAAGCTGCGACAGCTCTCAAAGAAATCCTTGGTCCTGGAGATCCTGATCTACATGATGTTTTTCGTGACCTTGGCATTGATGCAACTGCAAGCAAGCGCAGAAGAGTTGCCATGGTCAAGAAACGCTTCA